AGAATGAGGTCGCTGAAGAAGCTGCCCCCATTGCTCGCTGTCGCTGCTGAAACCCTCCATGTAGACATTGTCCAACAACTCCAGACCGTTCGTCGTCTCGTTGCTGGCGTACGAAAAACTGAGCTGCGTCGGTTGGCTCGAACATGGAATCAGCATGATGGTGGATTGCGCAATCGTCCAGCTCCTCCAGCACGTTCACAATGTAGCATCCTTGAAGGGAGAGGGTGGCCACCTCGAAGGAGCCGCCGTTCAAGGATATCATCTGCTTGGCGTAGCCGGGTTGCACCTCAAACTCCTCGAGCAGGGGCCTTGGGCATGAGATTGGGGTTCGCCCCGGCACCGCGTAGATGCAGAGCGCGCCTGACTTCCGCTTGAAACTGGCCAGCACGGCTCCACGCCACTGCGCGCGCTCGACCTTGCCGTTCCCGAGTCGGAATGGCCTGCGACATTTGTAGAACATGAGGTCCTGGATGGGGCTGCCCTTCTGCTTGCAGTCTGCCGCGTAATCCTCGACCGTCTCGGAGCCCTACATGACTGCGGTGGCTCAACGGTCCATGACTTCGCTGCAGGCTGAGATCGCGCTGCTGTCTGTCTTTGGCCTTTTCCGTCCCAGTTGACCTCGTCGACCATGAGGCTTTCGTCGGGGTGATCCCGCTGCTTGTTTGGAGGCTCGGCGCAGTCCCTGGACCAGCGACCCAGCTCCCCGCGCCGCAGACAGTTGGCCGACGGCGATGGCGCGGGCACTGGCTGCGTAGCTGCCCTGGCTCTCGCCAGCGGGTCCGGCGCCGCAAGTCGTGCTCTCGCGCGTGCGCCAGGTCGCGGTGGAACCCGCGGGCCGCCCTTTCTCCCCCTTGTCTTCTCCCGCGCCCTTTGGAACCGTTGCTGCTTGACTTGCCGCGGCCGCCGGAGGCTCCAATGAGTGCTTCGCTTCAACTTAATCCAATCCCGACCATCGCCGCAACTGGGTGAGACCCTCGCGCTAGCCTCAGGTCTTTGAACCGCTCCCTGACATCCGCACGGGCCGCGTGCACCTCGTCCTACTCGCCAGGGTGGAGCTCGTGAGCCGCGCTTGGTTCGCGCCGGTAGTTGCTCTCGCCGCAGTCGTACTATGCGTCGACGTCCTCCGCCCCATGCTCCGTCTCCCAAGCGTTTATAGCTCGTCCTCCGGTTCGGCAGTGTGGAACATTTCCCCATGCGAATATCCTTCCTCGTCGACGAAATAATGTCTCGGTGCGTGATTCGGCTCGTGGGTGGTGCTCTCCTGCCCGAAACGGTCTCCAACGCCTCGAGCCTCAAACTTTGGCGGGTAGTTCAATGTCGTGATTCTTGAGTTTCCGTTCTGCTGCTCGAAACCGCGACAGATGGGCGAAGTGCGTTTCGCCTCTGAACCTCCTGAGCTGGTAGAAATACTCCTCGATGTCGTCCGCGAGCTCGGCGAGATCGCCCATATTGAATCGCTCCTGTACCCTGTCTTTCACGAGCAACTTCGCCGCGTTCAGAGCGATGATGTCGTCCGCCGAGAGATCCTCAGCCTCGGCCCAAGCTTCGCCGGTGATACCTGCACTGAGCATGAGAGCCACTTCGCCTCCCTTCTTCTCCAATGTGAGCGTCGCCATGAAGATAACCGGCCGCTTCCCGCATGTCTTCCAATCGCTGAATGTGCTGTGGACTTGTGGAACTCCGGAACTCTTCGCTCTGATGCTGCTGCCGCTCTCGCCATCTTTTCGAAATCGAATTGCAAACTGGTCTGCGAAGTCGAACTTCTGCTATCGCGTGCAATTGAACTCGAAACGCGCTGTGCAATCAAACGTGGTCTGCCTTGCGAAATCCATGGCGTTGACTGCCTTATGGCATTAACCGGCAACGCGTACTCGAAACTAAACCGCGGGAAACCTATGGACTCAGACGCCGCGTGGTTTCCGTTAACGAAACCTATGGGGCGGTCCAATGTTTCCCTGGAATCGCCGCCGGGATATGGAATGTCCAAGCGCGAGCCTGACGATCAAGGCTCCGCTACGCCCCTTAGTGCTCCCGCTCGTGCTCGCAAAGCTATGCTAACTCTGCTATGTTCTTGCTATGCTACATGCAACTATATGTACAACGTATATTTCACACCTCCCCCACGTCGTCGCCCTCCTGACCCCCGCGTTTACCCCCCCCCCCCCTCCCGCGCGCGCACGCACGCGCGCGCGCGCGCCCGCGCGCACGCGCGCGCGCCCCCCCCCCCCCCCCCCGATCTCTGAGCCGGGCGAAGGGAGGGAGAGAACGAGGATGGGGAGAGAGAGGAGGGTGGAGCGCGGCTGGAGCGATGCCATGGCGGATACAGCTTGAAGCTTCAAGGCTGTGCGCAAGGTGTCAATTACGGTTCTGCATCTATTCGCAAGCCGAGCCACTATAGCATCGCCCGCGTCGAAATCACCCCGACAAGATCTGCGCGCGCTAGATCAGCGGCTGCAAACCCACGCGTCGGAATCGTAGACTCACTGTGGTAATGCTGCAAGCATTTTGAGCAACTGGCAAAACATGAGTCCGCCACAGCGCCGCCAGCACTGAATTGAGCGCCCTCAGGTCTCGTTGGCTCGCACTTGAGGCGCGCAGCCCCATGTGCCAGAATTCCCGGGGCGGCTCGGGATTTATCATATAATTTGGCCGTGCGCCCGAGGGGCCCCACGCGGCCAAGGAGGCCCCTGAGAGAGGGCCCTAAAAAACACCCCAAGGCGCCCAAGATGGCCCCACGACGGCCCAAAAGGCCTCGAAGACGGCCCGAAGAGGCTCCGCGAGGGCCGCTCAGATGACCCAAGGAGCTCAAAACGAACCCAAAAAGCCCAGGGCGCCCAGTGCCGACCCTCGAGATCTGCTCGGATCTCCGAAAGATCACGTTTAACAAGAACAAGCCACGGATCTCCGAACGCCCACGTTAAAGAAGGACAACCTATCAGAGGCAGCAACGTGAAATGGGGATTCCCCGCTGCAGTGCCCGGGCGGAAAACCGCGGGTCACGTCCAGAGGCCGCGAGGAGGACATCCACCTCCACGCCCATATCCTCCTTGACGTCCACCACTTCATCGTCCTCCGTCCCTTGCAATAAGCACCTGCTCGTGCGCCTTCTCATGCAGCGCCGCCCTGGCACCCCCCTCCCCATCGTCCTCCTCCTCCTCCTGGCCATCCTGGTCCTCCTCCTCCTCCTCCTGTTCGTCCTCCTCCTCCTCGTCCTGCTGCTCCTCTTCCTCCTCCTCCCTTACCTCCCCCTCGTCCTCCTCCCATTCCTCCTCCACCTGCTCCTGCACCAGATCATCCTTCTCCTTCGACTGCTCCCTGTCCTCTTCGCCCTCGTTCTGCCCGCGGGCGGGCTGAAATGCGTCGCCCAGGTGCGGTTGCGGTTGCGCGCCCGCGGGCGGGTTGAAATGCGTCGCCCAGTTGCGGTTGCGGTTGCGCGCCCGCGGGCGGGTTGAAATGCGTCGCCTCGTTGCGGTTGCGGTTGCGCGCCCGCGGGCGGGTCGAAATGTGTCGCGTAATTGCTGTTGCAATTGCGCGCCCGCGGGCGGGTTGGAATGCGTCGCCCAGGTGCGGTTGCGCGCCCGCGGGCGGGTTGAAATGTGTCGCCCAAGTGCGGTTGCCATTGCGCGCCCGCGGGCGGGTTGACATGTGGCGCCCACTTGCACTTGCGGTTGCGCGCCCGCGGACGGGTCGAACTAGGTCGCGTAGTTGCGGTTGCGGTTGTGCGCCCGCGGGCGGGTTGAAATGCGTCGCCCAAGTGCGGTGGCGCTTGCGCGCACGCGGGCGGGTCGGAATGTGTCGCCCAAGTGCGGTTGCGCTTGCGCGCCCGCGAGCGCGGTGAAATGTGTCGCCCAATTGCGGTTGCGGTTGCGCGCCCGCGGGCGGGTCGAAATGCGTCGCCCACTTGCAGTTGCGGTTGCGCGCCCGCGGGCGGTTTGAAATGTGTCGCCCAGTTGCGGTTGCGCGCCCGCGGGCGGGTTGAAATGTGTCGCCCAGGTGCGGTTGCGCGCGCGCGGCCCAGTTGCGGTTGCGATTGCGCGCCCGCGGGCGGGTTGAACTTTGTCGTCGCCCAGTTGCGGTTGCGCGCCCGCGGGCGGGTTGAAATGCGTTGTCGCCCAGGTGCGGTTGCGCGCCCGCGGGCGGGTTGAAATGTGTCGCCAAAGTGCGGTTGCGGTTGCTGTTGCGCGCCCGCGGACAGGTCGAAATGTGTCGCCCACTTGCGGTTGCGCGCCCGCGGGCGGACTGAAATATGTTGTTCAAGGTGCCCTCCTGACGTTCAGTCAGTCGATCAGTCAGTCAGTCAGTCAGTCAGTCAGTCAGTCAGTCAGTCACCCGGCTCCGCCTGGAAACAGGGCCGTCCACATGGCTGCAGGAGGATCGCACTACATTGCCGACGCACTGGCGACGCTAGGATGAAGTGCGTCGGGCTCCACCCAAACGCCATCCGCTCGGGCATGGACAGACACCCTTTTAGTAAAAGGTGGTCTAGTGAACACGACCTCGGGTCCAAACTTGGCAGGTGCAAGCTTTGAAAATGACGGCCGCGGCGCCCTCTCGCACCCCCGATCCTCTCTGGCACCATCTGGGCGGCCTGGAGGTCGCCGGGGATCTCTGGAAGCCCACCCGGAGGTCTCAGGAGGCCTCTGGACCCCGGAGGTACAGCAAGAAAACGGAAGCGCCTCAGGAATCCGACGATTTGGCACAACGTGGCAATCCCGGCAAAAGGCTGAAAAACCGCGGTGTTGCACTACTGTATCACTGCCCATGTGTTTCGCCACCCGGCTTGTGCTAATTTTCAAAAACCTTGGTCCTTGGACCCCGACCCCGATGCTCCAACACCATCTGCACTGGCCCATCTGGGCTGGCGCACTAGGCACGGGAGCAGCGGCAACCAGAAGGGCGACGACGCCGACGCCGACGCCGACGCCGACGCCAAATTACGACGACAACGACGACGACGACGACGACGGCGACGACGGACGACGGCGGCGGCTAAGGGCCGCCAGCGAGGCGAGTCCCAAGCCAACGCCGCGGGCAACCGTCTTCAGGCCAGAGGAGGTGCCTGCGGGTGCGCGAGCGGGGGGGGGAGGTCGCACGGGAGAGAAAGGTACAATCAGGGTCAGCGATGAGGATGGAAATTCAAGGTTGCAGGACCAGCGAAACGGCGTGAACATCAAAGCTGCGATAGCACAAACATGCGAAGGCTGGCCAGAACCGCAGGATGCAACGCGCCTTAGCTTGCATCCTCGAGGGACCTTGTCTGTCCCGTCGCGGCCCTATCCGCGTCGAGTCCGCGCCGAATCCATGCCGGAATCGTAGGATGCATGTCGAATCCGTGTCGAATCCGCGTCGAATCCACGCCAGATCCGCGTCGAGTCCGCATTGGGTCCGCGTCGGGCACAAGAGAAAGCACAAATTTTGGGGGGCAGGCGAGGTCCCCCGAAGATGCAACGTAACGTGCCCTTGCGATAGGGTCCCATCCTATCCTCAGCGCGGGTCCTGACTGCGTCCGTATTCATGCCCTCGCGGTCTGGACTCGTCGGCCGCGGCCGCATGGACCCGGGGCGGCGTTGCGCGGATGCCCAGCGCGGAAAACTTCCCCGCGATCATGCTCAGAAATCCGGCCGCGAGGGCCTGGATATGGATAACTTACTAAACTCGTCGCTCTCTTATAAGAACAAGGAAGGACAACACCACTCCAAATCTCAGAGATCTTGAACATCACATGTTCGTTTGGGGGACGCATTGAAATCCCCGGGTCGTCCGAGAACGACTTGGGACAAAAAAGTGAGATTCACAGGGACGGGTTGAGAAATATGGGGCCCGCGTGTTGGATGAACACTTCAAGAGGCATCCGAGAGGCAACCCAACATATCACGATTGCGTAACATCTAGATGTTTTCAAAAGGCCTCTGGCTCAAGACCCAAGCTCGGTTCCGGGATCGACCCACGGCCACAGGTAGAGCAAGCTCGGTGTTCTCTCTTCTTCAGTCTCGAAGTGCTGCTGAAGAAATGTTGGGGTAATCGTCGATCTGCCTTCGTGCGCTTCTCGGCTCCATCGTGGCCTTCCAAGGCCTCCTGATTCCAAGGCCTCTGCGACACTCGCTGGCTCCAGGCAAGGGATTGGGGTCGCCATGCCCCCCGCGCGACTCCTAGCATGCAGCGAAGGAAGCACGCTGCATCAACATTGATCTCACCAGCCCTTTAGGGGGTGAGTAGTTTAGGGAGCCTCCTCTCCCACCCCCCCTGCTTCCCTTTTGGGGAGGGGTTCCCCCCTCCCCCTCCACCCTCACCCTTGGTTTGGAGGGGGGGTGTTCGCGAGGTGTCAGGGGGTCTTGTTTACCCTCGGCGAGCAGGCCAAAATCATTAATTGTACGACGGTTTTGGCTACACGTTGGCCTCCTGGGGAGGTAGGGGGCCTTTACTTGAGGAGCTCCCCTCCTTTGATCGATCTCCTCCAAGATGGCCCCAGAGGCTCCAATGGGGCCCAGGGACAGCCCCAAGAGGTGCCCAGGAGGCCCCAAGAGGCCCCAAAGAGGCTCCCAGGAGGCTCCCAAGAGACCCCTAAGAGACGCCAAGAGGCCCCCATCGGCACCCAAGACGACCCAAGGGGCCTCGGCATAGATGTTACTAAGATGTTGGGCACATCTAAGGGGGACCTTGATTCAGGAGCTCCCCTTCGTTGATCGATTTGGTCCCAAAGCTCCCAGGAGTGCCCCCGAGAGGTGCCCAGGAGGCCAAGACAGGCCCCCAAGAGGCTGGCAAGATGCCCCAAAGAGGCTCCCAAGAGATCCCCGAGACCCCCCCCCCCGAAGGCTCCCAGAAACACCCAAAACGCCCGAAGATGCACCCGGAACCGCCAAGAGACACCCAAGACACCCTAAAAGGACTCCAAGAAGCTTTCAGAAGAAATCCACGGTGACTCCGAGAGGCATCCAAGGGGGTTCAGCCCATTCAACTCGCCCTCCTCCTCCTCCTCCTCCTCCTCATCGTCCGCTTCGTCCTGCTCCTCCTCGTCCCCCTTCTCCTCCTCGTCATCCTGCTCCTCCTCCTCCTCCTCCTCCTCCTCCTCCTCATCGTCCACCTCCTCCTTGTCTTCCACATCCGCCTATTAATCCTCCTTCCTCCTCCCTCCTCCCCCTCCCCCTCTCCCTCGTCCTCCTCCTCCTCCTTCTTGAATCGCTTGGCTCATTCCGCCGGCCCATGTTGCGCGCCGTTGGCGACTGACCGAGTGGTCTTTCGCGGTGCGGAGCTGCAGGGGCGGCGGCTGTTTTGATCAGGCTTTGAGGGCCTCCCGGAACCCTCTTCGGGCCGAGAGCTCGAAACGTCTGTTCGCGTTCCCCGTCTGGGCTGTCTCTTGGAGCCGTCTTGAGAGGCTCCTGGGCCGTCTTGGATGCCTCTAGGGCTGTCTTGGAGCTCTCTTGGACCGATCTGGGCTCCTCCTGGAGCGTTGTCGGTCTCCTCCTGAACCCTCTTGGGCTGTTTTGGGGCGATCTTGTAAGCATCTGCGGCAATCTTGAAGCCCGGGAAAGCGGAAAAAACGATAACGGCAAACTCGTTGAAAAACGCTTGGGGAATTATGGTTTCTTGCTTATGGGGACTCTCGGGAGGCTTCTTGGTTGCCGCTGGGAGTCTTGAACGCGTCGCGGGCCGTCTGGAAGCGTTTGGCCTATGGGGACTCTTTCGGGAGGCCTCTTGGTGGCCTCTTGGGGACTCTTAAACGCGTCGGGTCGTTGGCACTTGCTTGCGTGCTCGGGGGGGCATTGGGGGGCCTCCTGGGGCCGCTTGGGGGCCTCTTGGGGGCCTCCTGAAGGCATGTTGGGGGCCTCTTGGGGCCTCTTAGGAGCCTCTTGGGGACTCCTGGGGGCTTCTTAGGGCCGAGGGCTCGAACTGTTGTTTCGTGTTCCCCCCCTGGGACCTCTCTTGTGGCGTTCGCGGGGCCTTTTGGGGCCGCCTTGGAGGCCTCTTGGGCTATCTCGGAGGCCGCTTGGGCCGTCTTGGGGCCCTCTTGGGGGCCTTGGGCCCTCTTGGGGCGGTCTAGGGGGCCTGCCTCGTGGGCCGTCTTGGGGTGTCGGGAAGCCGACAAGGTGGGAACGGCAACATCTCGCCAAAACCTTGGGAACAGCAATGAATGTTGACTCTTGGGGCTCTCTTGAGAGTGTTCTTGGAGGCCTCTTCGCCCATCTGGGGTCATCTGTGGCATCTTGGAGCTTTCTTGTATCATCTTGAGGGGCTCTTGTCGGCCTCTTGGCCTTTCTTGGGGCTCTCTGGACGGCCTCGAGGGCGTCGCCCATGAGGAAAACCATCTCTGATCCGAGTCTCCCGGGACCTGCCCGGGGTAGTTACTTTTCGTACGGGAGCCCCCAGAGGCCGCCCCGCGCGCGCGAAGCAGAATTACTGTAAAGCAGTTACCGGAGATCTTAGCACGCCTCTTGCCCGTTGGGTCGGCGAATTCTCCTCCTCCTCCTCCTCCTCTTGCTACGCCACCTCCACCTCCTCGAACTCCTCCTCCTCCTCCTCCTCCTCCTCCTCCTCCTCCTCATCCGATCCTCATCCTCCTCATCCTCGTCCTCCTCCTTCTCCTCCTCCTCCTCCTCCACCCCCTTCTCCTTCTTCTCCTCCTTCTCCTCTCCCTTCCCCTTCCCCTTTCCCTCTCCCTTCTCCTCCTTCTCCTCATCCTCATCGCCTCTCCGAGCTCCTAGTTCTCCTCCTCCTCCTCCTCCTCCTCCTCCTCCATACTTCGCCCCTCCCCTCGGGGGCGCCTTCCCCATCAGCCAATCAGCGCCCCCCGAAGCCCTGGACCATCGAGTTCGAACGGCAAGCCGTTTCCTACTCCCTTCCCCGGCTACAAGAAAAAATGGCATCCTCGTGACTCGTGACCCCAAGGGAGTCCAGCTGAAAGGAGGTGGTGCAACAGATTTGAAGGAAGTATATGGTTCATGTAGTGCACCAGAGAATTGTATTGCGTTGTATTGCAACTTATGTATTGCACGCGATAATCGAACAGTTTTGGACGCCCGAAATGGGTACGGAGAGAATGGGTACAATGCCCAACAACAAATGTTGTCCCAAACCAACAGCGGCCGCTGTTGGGCAAGCGGCCTTCTGTCTTAAATGAACACAGGCCGCGGCGGCCGTGGACAGCGAGTCCTGTTCAAAATGAACAAGATCCGCTGTTGGACATTCTTTCCGTGCCCATTTCGTTTGTGCAGAACAGCACATCTGCGCTTCGGGATGTGTTGCATACCCCAGATCTGCTGCAACTCGAGACATCTATTGCACCACCCTCATTTCGCTGGACCCCCTTTTGGGTCAACTATGCAAAATTACCTTCGGTGCGCGGCGTCAGGGGCCCGCGTGGGGGGAGGGGGGAAGGGAGGGCGGGCCGGGGGGGGGGAGGTGCAAATCGAGGCGCGCAGGCAAGTGCTGGGGGACCCCTTGGGGGCCTGCACCAAGGGTCACCTCAGCGAAGAGAGACTGATAGTATTACGCGCAGCCGGTTTCTACCGGCCCGTGGTTCCGAGAACCAGGTCATGGACCCTGGGGCCTTCCCCCAACACCTCATCGTTCACCCTGAGCGACGTCTGCCGGGTCCCGGGGCCTGGAGAAGGGCGCCGAAATCCCGAAAACGGTGAACACATGAGGCCCGGTTCCCGTCAAGATCAGTTTGTTTCACGCCCCCCTCAAATCCAGCTCCCGGACTTCTCTCTGGAGATGCGTGTCCAGCCGTGGCGACGAACATACGACATACATGTTGCCCCCCACCCCGGCAGGTTGGGGTGGTTAGAATTGTCTGTTACACGTTGTGGCTTCTGGGAAAAAAAATACGGACCCGCCTCGCTCACCCGGCATACCGCGGCCGCCATGCCCACAGTGTGCCAGTGATCTCTGGGGCCTGGCGGTCGCGGCGCGCAGGGCGGGCGAAGGCGGGTCGGGAGCTCTCCGCTGGAAGCCCGAGAACGCCAGCCTGCCGGCTGAGGAAACACGCCCACGACCCCCGAACCTCGAGGCTCGGATCATCGAGCTCCTCCTTAAAATAAGCGAAAAATAACTATGTTCATGCACCGATTCTGGCCAGGCCCCATCCTGAGCCTAGGATCGGTGCATACGCCCTCCTACCTTGGCCAGGAAGGCATATGCACCGATCCCAGGTCAAGGATGGGCCTTGCCAGGATCGGTGCATGTGCATAGCTCCCTTCGCCCGATTAAAACATCACATCTTCGATCCCCAGCGCTGAGCTTCCTGGCCACGACCGGGCCCCCGGGGGCGCCCGCTCGGGGCCCCCGTCCAGGTCGACCCGCGGAGCTGCTGGCCCGAGCGGCTCCACCCGAGGGCCACGCGCATATCGCGCGCGGCTGCCCCCGGGGGAGAGGGCCCATGCACGAAGCTTCGTCTGGACCCTCCAGGCCTCAGGGTCGAGGTCCCCAGATCTCGGACGGCGTGCTTGGCTCAATCCTGGCGGCTGTCCTCGAGCCGACGCGCCCGCCCTCGGGCGCGGGCGACGGGCGCCTGCGACCACGTCGCGCGGCTTTCGGAGGGAGAACACCGACCCCGCCACGGCCTCGCAGAAGGGCCGGGCGCGACAGAAGTGCGAAGGGGGAAGAAGGAGGAGAGTCCGGGGCGGAATGCGGAGGATTAGGAAGCAACTCCTGGGATCGCAAGAGCGATCACGGGCCACGCCGGGTTGAGCCCAAAGGCATGTAAGATTACACGGGATTGCGATGGATTTGGCCAAGTGTTGACTACGGATATACCAGCGCCGACGCTGCCTGCAAACTCCCAGGAGATGCATCTGAAGGAGGTGTTGGGAGGAGGGATGGGCGGAGGAGGAGGGGCGAGGGAAGGATGGGGCAAGGGGGGAGGGGCGAGGGAGAAGGAGGGGGGGGAAAGGTTCCGAAAGAAAAAAGAAGGAAGTGGCCAGGGAGGAGGTGAGAAGGAGGAGGAAGATGTCCACTTCCCCCCCACTTACCCCCCCCCCGCATCCATATTCCATACCAGGTCCATAATCCATAATATGTGGCAGCAGCGCAGCAGCAGGCCGTGCCTGCCAACCTCGAAATCCGCGCAGGAGGGGGGGGCAGCGGCAGCAGAGGAGCAGCGAAGGAGGAGGAGAGAACGGACAGGGTACTTGACGCCCGTGCACAACGGGTGGCCGATCTTCGCCCACCCGCGGGAGGTGCCGCGGTACCTCGCGCGCGGGGCGGGGCGGGGCAGCACCGCCCGCTACCGATCCTCCCGAACGAGAGTCCTCGGCGGCGGGGGGGCGCACTCGGTGACGGGGGAGGACAGAGTCCATGCCCCGCAAGCCTCGGGCGCTTGCAACCCAGGCCACCGTCGCCACGACCCACAACCCAGGCACGAAAAACGCCTGGACAAAATCGAGAGGCAGGCACCCTACCTCCCAGAGAGGCGCAACGGGCACAGTTGAACAAGTCGTCGACGTGGCGGGCGGCGGGGGCGGCAGGGGGCGGCGGGGCGGGTGCGCGCACGCCCCCGCGCGCGCTCCCCCAGCCAGGCGGGGGCCCAACCCCGGCAGCAACAGCGCACGCGCGGCGGAGCAAGCAGCAATAGGACCGAGGGGGCGGGCCAGAAGAAAGGCAGGGGAATGAGGGGAAGGCAGGGGCGGGAAAAACCGAGGACCCAACAACGCCCACCCCGCAGGGAAGGGGCAGCGGCAGCGGCAGGGGAGACGGAAGACAGCAAGCGACAGGAGAGGCAAGGGAACACAGAGAGGAGCACTAGAGCACACGCGCGAGAGATGAAAGGGAGCGGTCACACTCAGACGACATCACTTCACGTGGCAGCCCGTCCAATACGCCGTGCCCTGAACTGTCGTGCAACACCAGTATACCGACGAGCCAGAAGACGCAATCGGGCAACGAAGACCTGGGACGAGGGGACCTGAGTCAGGCGCCGATTATGGGCGCATGTCTTCAGAAATGCATCGATGAAGGCAGCGCAAGCAACGTCGCGGTCGAGCCCCCAGGAAGGTCCCATCAGACAAAGACAGGTAAGCCAGGTATCTCGGTGCTGCCACATCTCCCTCCACGGCGTGGGTAATGCTTCCAACCCAGGGGAGACGGTGCAGCGCCAAGTCACGGAACCGATCGCAGATTTTGTAGTGGTGAAGGTCATCAGGGGCCACACACCCAAAGCTGCACCCACGGTCATTCGCATGAAAACGCGCCGACGTACAAACGCCCCTGGGCAGAACACGTAGAACGTTGGTAGCAATATGTGTGAACGCGGCACGCTCCACAGCGCGCAATCTAGTCCGCAGGCGGAACATATCCTCGAGAGGTGCTGCAACTAACCACCCCGATACCCGTGCACCCAGACACACTAATGGAGTGGCAGTCATACGAACCGACCGTAAGTGCTGATGGACCTTGGCATGGATAAGACGGGCAGTTCGCTCAATGGGAGAGTTCACGAGGTCCGCCGCGTCCCCATTCGTCGTGCGTATCATCGAATGGCACCACCATCCAGAAAACATACGTGC